TTTGAAATAACCCTGTCAAACCGTAACCACCGATACAACAAGGCCTGCATGCTCCGTGGGTGACGTCACTTAGTGAGGCCTAATCAGTGGCTCGAAACGACAAGCGCTTATAGCGCTATAAGGCGACCGCGTATTTCGATTTTAGTTTTGGATCATCATTGAGCCGATTTTGCTGTTTTTTGAAGGGCTTCCGGTTAAAGAAGGATGCCAGTCGTCAACTGAGCCCTTCTTCGCACCCCATTCGATTTTATTATGGAAAATCGAAGTTTTAAAGCAAAAACCAGGATAAAACACAAATATCCACCTACAGCAACCCATTCGAATTAAATATATTGGCAAGAAATGTGGTGAAGGTAAACTTCACACCTACTTATACAGGGCTCGCAGAACATAAACTCATCGTGAGATTGATCGAAAGAAAATTGTGGAAAATGTATTTTATTTTGATTGACATGCCGTTTGTGACAATTACCTATATTTATCTTGGAGAATTCCTATTACCTGAAAAAATAACCAGTGAGTGTTTTCAATTTTCTGTTGTTGGATTTTTCACCCAAGTGGATCGTTATACTTGAAACCGTAATTTTTAAGGGTAAAACTGCATTTATCATGCAATGGTTTTTTTTTTGAAAATTTTTTTCGGAACACGTATTTTTGTCTGATAAACCGAATTTTATAATGAAAATGTGAACAAACCACTATTTATTGAGATATTTCAAGAAAAAGTTCAAAATTTTGCGTTCTTTCTCCCCTTGTGTTGGGGGCATTTGGCCATTTGAAGCTACTTGCTCTTCTTATTTTGTCATTGGACACTTTATATACTCATGATGTACTTCGATGGCACATTTTTATATAGAAAATTCAACAGAAAATATGATTTTTATGGCGAGTTTTTCATATTTAGTGAACAAGCATTCCAGATGACGACCATTTAATCAATAGTCAATCAAAATACGAGATGTCAAATGTCAATAGATTGCTTCCGAATGACATTACACACGCCATTATTTTGAATGATATTCTTCCTTCTTTTCACTAAATATGGATTAATCTCAAGAAAATCATATTTATAGTTGAATTATATATAAATTGTCCAATATGATGAAAAAAGAAGGGAAATTTGTTCTAAATGCCATCCAGAAGACAGGTGAAATAGAAGGTGAAATTCATGATAATTGCAGTTTTACCTTTTTAAGTAGAGTGTTTGTAGTTCATGTTGATATGGTAGTTGCAATTTGATAATTGGAATGAATTCTGCATTCATTGCCATGAGGCAAATGACCGTTTTCAGAAAGAAATTTGAGAATGAGAATTAGAAATGCCCGTTTATTATGAACATTCAAAAAAAATTCCTCGAATTCAGAGATGATTTTGTTGACTATAATATACGAATACAAAACTAACTGCACAATCAAAGCTTTTCTATTTTTCCTCTACTTATACTTTTTATGAGAGAGTAATTGTCTTCTATTATTAATTCATCATTATGAATTAAGCTCTGTTTACTACTGAACTTAGATGGAGTAAAATCCTCGCGGTGAATTGCATATACCTACATTTTCGATAGCTCCTCGTCCAACGGGAAACTAAAAGCATGAACTTTTGAACCACCCACATAATTCCCCCGACAAAAGGGAACACAACACTTGAAAGGCATTGTTATTTCGTCGATCACAACACAAAATATTTCACAAAACAGTAATTTTTCCACCAATTATTTTGATGAATAAACAACAAAAGAATTCGGGACCGTTTCAAAAACATACATCATCGATGAATCAACACGAACTGACGCGTTAGTCGACAAGCGATAAAATGAAATACTGGCCTCTCTTGGTGACGTCACGAGCTGTTTACGTCAGAGTCTGCTGGCCTTGTTGTATCGGTGGTAACGGTCAAACCCGGTATCGTTGAATTCGTTATGATAATCCCTAACCGATCATGGAATACAATACAGGGTGTCCCATTCGAAAATCAAAAGTTGGGATCGTTTCCGGTGAAACTGAAAGTGATAGAAGAAAAAATGTTTAATTAATTAATGAGCAATTTGGTATACTTGCTACCCACTAGTTTTCAAAACCATATCTAGAATAATTCAAAAGTTACAATCCCGGCCGTTTTCTGTGCACTCATCTGTATGTAGTATGATATAATCTTAGCACATCTGTGAAATGGTATACAGCAACCAATTTTAATTGTTATGATATGGATTTGTATTCTTTCAGGTGTACTAAGAACTCGTTTTTTTCATTCTTGTATATATTTTTTTCAATATGTTCAGATATAATTATCATTTTAGGACAACTACTGTGCACTTTCATAGAAATCCTGTTTTTTTTTATAGAAATAAATATCTTATCTTATCTTATCTTATCTTATCTTATCTTATCACTGGAAGAAATATTATTCAAAAATGACATTTTGTTTTTTGGCAACCCAATATTATGAAGGTAATCTAGACCTGATGATGCATTGCATTGAAGTTCGAATAAACATTTAAAATATACCTAATTAACAATCGAAGGGCGTATATATATGCCTATCTATTACTGAACACCTGGTATAGATACGTGGGAATTTCCCAAGTGGATCCTAACCGTTTGACGGAGTGTTTATTTTTAATGATTCTTCATTAATTAGATCCAAATCTGGAAGTTTTGCATCGAATAGTACTGTGGAGGCTACTATATGGGATGTCGATGCTTATCTATGCAAATCGAATAAATACCATCAATAAATGGGTATAATAAAATTAAACATTTCAAAACTAGATCTACACCGGAGTCCAAATGACGTGTAATGAATCATAGACTCGCAAGGAAAGCTTTTTGCTGCTTTACTAGCGTTCCATGCATGTCTCCTCGTCGAAAAATTATCATTATTGCTCATAAATATCTCATATAGATGGTAATCTATTTCATGCGCTTTCTCATTGAGAAAAAAATTAGACATGTTAATAGCTTGAAAGAAATGGGAATGAGAATTCTGATATATCAAAGATTGATTGTGATGTTCCACAGGGATCAGTACTAGGCCCAATTCTGTTGCTTTTCTATCTAAATGACTTGCAATATAATGTAATAATGCAAATATTGATATTCTAGGAAAGTTCACGATATTTGCAGAAGACACAACGCTTATGTGGCATGGAAGTGATATAAACTACGTAAAACTAATCTCGTCGCACCCCAAAATTTTGCCTCTGCTGGAATATGAATGACTTTTTATTTCTGCTTTGAATGATTTGAATTCGAATCTCACTTTTCGCTAGCCCAATCCTTCAGCTATTATCTCGTAATTCTTCAAAACATAAGTTTCTTCACATAAAATCGCTACAGGGTGTTACCTGAAACTGTGGAAAATTTCGTAAATTTCGAAAGTATCCCAAATGAAGGAAAAGGTTTTTTTTCGACTTTGACAGTAGAGGCATGTAGATGATCTCATTACCTTGAGACATTTTTGGAATTGCCTTCGTATTTCTTTTATTTACAGGATGTTCTTTTGGTTTCGCAGGCATAACTTTTTTACTCATCAACCGATTTTTGAAATATTGAAATATTATCCTCATTTCGAAGCTTAAACTTTAGATAAAGAGATATGAAGATCAGAATTGACCCAAGATGAACATTATACAGTGTGTCTCAGTTAAAATGGAAGCACCCCTTTATCTTTCGTGATTGTTGAGTTAGGATTCATTTCACTGCTCGCCAATAGCCATGATACCACCCACAATAATGATATAAGGAGGCAAGATATGTTGAAAATTACTTCAAAATCGTCTCTTTCGCTTCTTTCTGCAAATTTGGAAACCCTACCTCAATAATTACGTGAGATACGGGGGTGCTTCCATGAGAAATGAGACAAAATTTAGTTTTTCTGAGCTGAACATTTTCCAGGAAAAATATGTATAATCAGTGAATTGGACGTCCTGATTTCAAATCCGAAGTGATTTTCTTCCTATCTTGGCTCCCAATAATATTTTTCGGAAATTGGGGTGGTTCCATGGCTGTTAGCGAGTAGTGTTCATCATTGGAGATGACTCCTCTTGATTAGAGTGTTTATTTTCAGTATATCTTCCGCTCCTGTGAGTTCCAGAATCCTAACTCAACAATTACGAAGCATACAGGGGAGCTACCATTATAGGAGTGAGACAGACTGTATAATATTCATCTTCAGTCAATTCTGATCTTCATATCTCTCCATCTGGAGTTTCAGCTTCAAAATGAGATTTTAAATACGGGTTGACAAAGGAAAAACGTTATGACTCTACTACGACATAAAACTTACTTCGCTTCAACTGTGAGTAAATTCTTCATTGAGTAGGTTTGTTATTCCATTGTCGTTCTAGATGACAACTTATTTAGGTAGTTAGTAGGCAAGAGCTGTCGCCTACTAGGTTTTCATTTAGATCGACCAAGGTTATATTGGATCTTTCTTTCATTTGATTCAGACCAGGGAAGAGTCCCTCTTATCCTGATATCTATTATGAAACAAAATAAAAACGGTATTGAAGTTTGATGCGAACAGCCCTTCTGCTCCGAATAAGTTTCAGAAATACATTCTGAGTTCTGAGAATTGAAAGAGATGGAACGGAATAAATAAATATCGAAAACTTGAGAATAGTAAATTTGGCCATACTGTCGATATTTTCTCTAGTTTATGGACAATCTCGGTCTTAACAATAATTATACCACAGGAAGACGTTGGCAGTATTAAATGCTCTTTTCTGCAGTAGTAAAGGTATTGCCTGATGTCCCCTATGTAGCCAACAAATTAGCTATGGCAATTAATTAATTTCCTCAGTGTAGTGTTCTAGACATTTGAAGGATGAATAAAAATAGATGACGTCACCAGGTACAGCATTGCGTCTCTGCTGTATCGGTGATACAACACATCAGTTCAGTGACAACGCAGAATATGAATCGCCTACTCATCTCGATTATTCAACAACCACAAAATATTTCCTCGAGTCTCAGACTTATCTACTGTTTTTGTTGCAGTCCTTCTTCGGCAGAACCTACAACAACATCAGCTCGATCTCAGAGTGCAAAAACAACGGCGAGTGCATCATCAACAAGAAGAACCGCACAGCCTGCAAAGCCTGCCGCCTCAGAAAATGCCTTCTGGTAGGCATGTCCAAAAGCGGCTCACGCTACGGCAGAAGATCCAACTGGTTCAAAATCCACTGCCTGCTGCAGGAGCAGCAACAGCACTCCATGCAAACCCCCTTCAACCCCAACGTGCTGAAAAACCCGTTCAGGCCGCACCCTTACGTATCCCCCTTCTTCCAGAACACCCAGCTGCCTTATCTACCCCCAAGAGACAAGGAGAGACTCTCCTCGGAGTCAGACAGCGGGGCCTCGTCCACGGAACAAGAGGAAGACCGGTTGAAACCTGTTGCTTCAACGTCACCTGTCAACGCTAACCACAACAAATCGCTGCCTTCGTCTCTGAGCGATTCGGAATTCTCGACGAGGCATCACAGGGCGCTCAGCATATTCAACCCGGTCCCATCAGTCTCTCCTTTATCGTTACCACCAATGTCTCCCGTTGGAGGGGTTCCCAAGTGGTCATTCGTTTCTAGGGGGTTCTGGTTTCCTCCACCTCCGCATATAGCATCGCCTGCCCCACCTGATCAAGAGGAACCCATGGATTTGTCCAAGAAGTGTAACGATGTCGTTACTAACCGTGTGAGTCCTACTGAGCCTTCTAAAGGAGACTTGGAGGTGCGGAGAGAAGACCTCAATGTGAAAGCCTTGCCGTTGGATTTGACGTTAGAAAGACAGGGTGAAATGACTTGAGTTTGTGTTTTAGTTCTATATCGCTGTGCCTTATCATGAATAGGTTTCAAAGGTTCCTCTACATCATTCTAGAAACAGTTGAATAGTGAATGGTTGAAATGTTGCAACGCGAGAAGACATATCGACATTTCGACATGACACGTGTAGGTACAATTCTTTAAATGTCTAAGCATCAGTAGGTCCAGACTACATTATTCAGTAACTGACTGAAATGAAATCATAACTGTTGTTCTGCCAGCTAGATGAAATTCCTCAAGAGGAATCATTGATGAACCATCCACGATCCTTCCACTTGAGTCTTGTCTGCTCAACAGTCTTGTCATGCAACGAACTTGTAAAATTGGCAAAACACTCTTTCAAATGAAGCAATGGGATCTCTTTCACAGAACAAGAAGAAGACCGGTTGAAACCTGTTGCTTCAACGTCACCTGTCAACGCTAACCACAACAAATCGCTGCCTTTGTCTCTGAGCGACTCGGAATTCACGACGAGGCATCACAGGGCGCTCAGCATATTCAACCCGGTCCCATCAGTGTCTTCTTTATCGTTACCACCAATGTCTCCCGTTGGAGGGGTTCCCAAGTGGTCATTCGTTTCTAGGGGGTTTTGGTTTCCTCCACCTCCGTCTATAGCGTCTCCTGCCCCGCCTGATCAAGAGGAACCCATGGATTTGTCCAAGAAGTGTAACGATGTCGTTACTAACCATGTGAGTCCTACAGAGCCTTCTAAAGGAGACTTGGAGGTGCGGAGAGAAGACCTCAATGTGAAAGCCTTGCCGTTGGATTTGACGTTAGAAAGACAGGGTGAAATGACTTGAGTTTGTGTTTTAGTTTTATATCGCTGTGCCTTATCATGAATAGGTTTCAAAGGTTCCTTTTCATCATTCTAGAAACGGTTAAGTAGTGAATGGTTGAAATGTTGCATCGAAAAGAAGGCATACCAGCATTTCGACATGGCACTACATTCTTCCATAGCTGACTAGAATAAAATCATGACTGTTGTTCTGTCAGCTAGATAAAAATCCTCACAAGAAATCATTGATAAACCCTCCGCGATCCTTTCACTTGAGTCTTGTCTGCTCCACAGTCTTATCATGCAGTGAACTTGTAAAATTGGCAAAACACTCTTCCAAGTGCACCAATAGGATCCCTTACATGAAACAAGAAAACTGTTGCTTCAATGTCACCTGTCAACGCTAACCACAACAAATCGCTGCCTTCGTCTCTGAGCGACTCGGAATTCACGACGAGGAATCACATGGCGCTCAGCATATTCAACTCGGTCTCATCAGTGTCTCCTTTATCGTTACCTCCAATGTCTCCCAGTGGAGGGATTCCCAAGTGGTTATTCGTTTCTAGGGGGTTTTGATTTCCGCCACCTCCGCATATAGTAGGTATCGCCTGCCCCCCCCTGATCAAGAGGAAGATATGGATCAGTCCAAGAAGTGCAACGACCTTGTTAATGACCGTGTGAGTCGTCCTGAGCACCTTAAGGTAGACTTGGAGGTGTGGAGAGAGGATCTTAATGTGAAAGCCTTGACATTGGATCTAACAGAAAGACAGGGTGGAATGACTTGAGTCCGTGTTTCTGTTTCATATCGCTATGGCTCATCATTGATGGCTTTCAAAGGTTCCTTTCCATCATTCTAAAAATGGTAAATGAATAGTTGAAATATTGCTACGAGAGAACATATACAGGGTGTTTCGAAATTCGACCGACAACGCTTGACAGGTGATAACCTTCGTGATTTCATAATCTCTGAGATAGGGACATACGGTCTTGAAGTGTTCAGTTCTCGAGATATAGGGCGTTGAAGTTGAGAAATTAAAATAGTTTTTTCTCGATATCTCATGAAAAATTGAATATAATGCATTCAAATTCGGTATATGGTTTGATCTTTCAATGGTTAATTTTTTGACCAGAAAGACATTCCGAGAATGTTATCCAGAGGTGCGCTACAGAGGGTTTTGATAACTTTTCCGCACATATTTTCTACGCCACTGATGAAATTTCAATTATTTCTAATTTCTCGAATTGATTGTTCAATTATGTTGAAAAAGTGCATCACCTTCAACTGAGCTAAAATGAACAGTTATCGAGATATTTGACCCAAAATAAAAGTTTGCATAGTAATTTTCCATCTTCCTCAGTAGTAGAAAATTACAAACATTTTTGTTCTCTCTTTATGCGTGGAATAACTATTTCTGTTCAGCTATAGAATGAGATCTGGATAGTATCTAATCTACTCAACACCAGAAAAATATTTTTGCAATTTTCTACTACTGAAAATGATGAAATATTACTATGCAATCTTCTATTTTGGGTCGAATATCTCGAGAACTGTTTATTTCAGCTCAGTTGAAGGTGATGCATTTTCTGAACAAAATTGAACAATGAATTCGAGGAATTGGAAATAATCGAAATGTAATCAGTGGCGTAGAAAATATGGAAGGAAAAAATGCCACAACCCCCTGTAGGGCACCACTGGATAAAATGTCCGGAATGGCTTCCTGGTCAAAAAATTACCCATTCAAAGATGGAACCATATACCGAAGTTGAATGCATTATATTCAATTATTCTTGAGATATTGCGAAACAACTATTTCCATTTCTCAACTTCAACGCCCTGTATCTCGAAAACTGAACACTTGAAGACCGTATGTCCCTATCTCAGTGATTATGAAATCACGAGGGCTATCATCTGTCAAACGTTGTCGGTCGAATTTCGAAACACCCTGTATAACAAAATTTCGTCATGGAACGTGAAGGTACATACGTATAACAAATTTCTTATAAATTTGATAAGGAAAACGAAATGAATGCTATCGGAACAAAATAATAAGGCATCAAGTCGTCTTGTGAAAATTATACAAACTGACACAACAATTTTCACTACCTACATCATTGTATTCCACGTCACACTCCATGAATTCCTGTAAAGTTCTTTTTGTTATTGACGAATCATTTATCTGTTCAACTTATTTTGTACGCAAGTACTCACCAATAATTATTCACCTCATTATATATATATATTCACAAAAAATCAAAAAATATTTGTATCAGAACGAAAATGTGAAACCAATGTTTTTCCATAGTACAGGCATTTCATTCACTATTCAAAATATGCTATAGCTCAATACTAACCCTGTATATTTTTTTCCAATGTGAGTCGAAATCTCAACACCTGGAAATTGAAATAAAAATAAGACTCGAAAACGTCTGATGTATAACAAAATGTGATGTAGGTATATTTGGTATTCCTGAATCATTATAAAAATATGTACATATTATTTATTTTTTCAATAATATTTTTCTGTATCTATATTGGTGGTTGTGGATCATGAGGTATATTTATTTGAATTTTCACTACCTATATTACTATCAGGCCAGTCTGTTAAGATAGTCTCATCAATATAATATAGATTATAATACAGGGAGCTCTAAATAAAATGTGACCTCTCAGAAAAATACTCTTTTATGAATAGGTTTTCAAGAAATTGGTTCTTGGGATTCAACACCCTGTGTACTGAGTTATGCGAGTCATAGAAACTACTCAGAACGAGATATTCTTATAGACAGCTAGGACTATCCTTGCGAAAGTGCTATTATTTTATGACAGTGTTCTATTTGTGATATCTTCCATATAAATCAATTTTATTTGGGAGCATACTGTGGCCTTTAATTCTGTTCAAAAAGTGAATGGAAAAATTAGTGTTAGAAAATCGAAAGCTTTACGTATAATTATCAAATTAGATGTGTTTGAAACATTTATAGAGTTTACCTAGTGACTATAAATGATTGAAATATTTTTTGTCAATATATTATCGGAAAATTCTGGGAATCTGGGAAAATTCAAAATCTCAAGTTTGGAACAATGAGAATCTGCCTCATTCTGTATATAGTATATAAAAAAAAATATTTCATAGGTGAATTCAATTTAACTCAATATTATATTATTCAAAACCACAGTACATAATATGGAATTGAACTGTTTGATCTAAACAGTTGAAGTGGATAGTATTAGATTAATTATTGATTTCAAACATTTTCAATACCATGTGTGTTAATATGTACTGAAATGGCCAGTGAAAAAATTTGGGTGCCTTATATATAGCATGTATATTGTTATTTTATATAATGTTTGAATAAAACTGTTTTGTTAATGTGACTTGATACTTATTCCATTTCTGCCACCCTCGAAAACTTTCCATCTGCTGGGATGACGATTAATAGTACACTATACACCTAGAGTGTGAAGTGGTATTTTGAATCCCTAGACAAAAAGTTTATAGCACGACCAACGGGAGGGCTATGATTTGTCGAGGAATTTAAAAACACTTTAGCCCCGAGGTGTATATACTATTTTATGCACTTCAGGATAGGTGAAACGTTGAAGAAAAAATAACGAAAGATAATTTAAATGCTACTAAATCCAGATCATGTTTGTCATCGGCAACTGAAAATCTTGGTGTGTTATGACCACTGACAAGTAACTAAGTAAAACATAATAGTATATTACATAACAAGAGTTGTAAAACGCATATTACGCACGAAGTGGAGAGAGTTACACACGATGCCGGATAGCGGCGAGTGTGTGACTCCACAAGTGTGTAATTGCTTTAAAACTCGAGAATTGTACTATACTCTTTCTACGACTACACTATATTTTCTTCCGGATGGCGCAGATATTGTATTAAGGCACAAATAACGAATACCTATATATACACGTCTCCCGCCACTAAGCCAGCTGCATGACAAGTTACAAATCAAAATTCTCGTGTTTGTTTATTGATACATTGCATACCGAGACATTTTCCTCAATTCGAACTGAAATGGAGCCGTTTTTCATATCTGAACAACTTTATTAATAGCAAAAAACACATATATTAGTTATTTATGTAATAAGGATCATAAAGACGATCATTATGGTACAAGTCGTGAATGTTATCGGGCGAGGCGTAGCCGAGTCCGATAACACGGCGTGTGCCTTAATGATTGTTTATGATTCGTATTACATACAAAATTTCATCTGATGGCATTCATATCAATACATTTTCGAAAAATTAAAAACTGCATTTTCGACATGTCACAATGACAACTATTTTTAAAGGAGTAAGTATTGTGTAGTTTCAAATATTAGTAGGTGAGTGAGCTGTGCTTTGCCATTATATTAATATTACAAATTGTAGTAATTGTTCTTTTACCATTTATAATAAATAGTTTTGTACATAGTTATGCATTTTGAATAAACTTTTTTGATCAAACCATTACATGTTTTCCTTATAGAATTTCATTATGGTACTTAGTACCATAATGAATTCATTGTGGTACTTAGTCCCATAATGAATTCATTATGGTACTTAGTCCCATAATAAGCTTCCTTATGTCATCAAAATTGAGTGACATAACGTTGTCATTATGACATGCCATCAGATAAAAAAATATAAAATTAACATTCACAATAGTTATTTATTGTAAGAGTGCAGAACGAGAGATTCTGTAATTGTTATTGAAGATTGATCTTTTCTAATTATTCCTGTTATTTGAAGAAAAAGGAATTCACCAATTCAATGTTGAGTATGTATGTTATTTGAGAAATTACCTTCATGAATAAATATTCATCAACAGGAGCATTTTGCAGAAAATAATTGATCTGTTCAGCATTAAGTATTTTCGATTTACTTCGGAATCCATCCGATTTCCTTTAGAGGAAATGGGATATGTCGCTATATTAATATTGTGACTGATATTTAGTGTTGATCGTAACATGGAATATATCGACCAGAGTGATGATGATTTCATCGAATTGGATAATTCTTGAAAATATACTAAAAGGATATGTTCCGAAAACGACACGGTATTATTTCTAATTCTTTAGTTCAGGATTTTTTGATGTGCTATTTCGTATCATACACGAGATTTA